GGGGGGGTGGCGAGTGGCTAGGGACACGTTGGCACTCAGAACACCCTCTCCTGTCACCTCCTGTGCTTGCAGGGAGAAGTGGTGCCACATGACCCAGGAGGAGCGTGATGACAGCCTGCGGTTCAATGAGAACATCACCTTCGGACAGCTAGGGTAAGAGCACTGGGGGCCAAAACCCCGTCCCTCGTGACCCAGACAGGGGGATGGGTTGGGGAGCGAACTCATGCCTTTCCTGACACCGAGTTACAGAGAGAGAGAGAGAGAGAGCAGGGCAGAGGCGCTGCCACTGACACCCAGACTCGGTGAGGACACTCCCACCTCACGATGTCACACATCTGAGACACAGTGTCGGTACAACTGTGAGGTCTCAGACAGCTTGAAGCATATGATTCATTACACTTGGCCTGGATTCCAGATCCTAACTCATCTGCCTCCCATCTCCACACGTGGCGGCGGGCAGTTTCACAGTGAGTGATGTTGGCTGGCTGACGAAGGAATGATTTATTTTTACTTTGGTCTGACAGTTCCAGGCAGGCTGCACGCTGGGCCCAGGTCCCGGTTCCCTCTCCCCAGGGAGGCAGGAGGGGTGCTAGCTCATGAGTGTTTTTACTTCCAGCACGTTCACTCACAACATGCTGGCCTTCGGGCTGAATAAGAAGCTGTGTAACGACTTTCTGAAGAAGCAGGCTGTGATCGGGAACCTGGACGAAGGTGGGTCACGGCCAGGGGCGGGCAGGGCGGAGTGCTAGGGACAGACGTTCTGCAGACCAGGATTTCCCCCCCGCTAAAAGGGGTGTCCCTGTTTTAATGAGGAGAATGTTAAACTACCTGGTTGAGTCACTCCTCCTCTGTTTCTGTCTACTTAAATGTTCAAAATGCTTCTCATGCTGTTTGGAAGCCCATTTCTGCCGGGCAGGATGTGCCAGGGATAGAGGGATCTTGCCAGCTCAGTGTTTATGGTCAGGGACAAAGGTAGAGATGTAACTGGATGCTCAGACTCTGACCTTGAAAGGCCACCATAGTCTCCCTTTGTTTCATAAACCACGCTGCAGTGAGATGGGTGAGGGGAGAGGTGGAGGGGGGTTTGAGGTTTATCTGGAGTTCCTGACTTCTGTAACAAAAGGGGCTATGTTGCTGATGTCAGCTCCCCTGTTCTACAACGGGGGCCCCCTTCATCCATCATCCCACCTGCTACAAACAGCATTTCTTCTAGGCTGCCAAAGGCTTCCACTTCAGTGCATATTTGGATTGACTAATGTTTTTTTTAAAAAATAAAACAACTTCATCCTGCACCAAATTAAAGGAGCTACAAAAGAGTGGCCTCAGGAGGCAGGAGAGTGTTAGAGGCATCCCTGGATTATCTCAGATGTTGTCACCACCCCACCACATGGCAGGGCAAGAACACTGTCCCATCTCCCGATGTGTGGCCCCTATGCCATCTCCAGGACACAGGCCTGGCTCCCGTGACACAGTCCATCTGCTCGCACTGTGCCTCCCCAGGCTCCCAGGCGGGCCTGCGGGACCACCCTCTGTATTGTCGCTTCTGTAAGAAGAGGCTCCTGGTTCCAAGGAGCCCACTTGCAGGGGCACATTCACCCCAGACCTGCAGCGTGCTGATGGCCAAGGGCTCTGTGTCACCGCCCAGCTTCAGAAGCCTGCGCTCACAGTCCCTGATGAGGTCCTGGTTTGTTATTGCCCCAGTAAGAAGAGCAGGACCCGCCTGTCCGTGCCACCATCTTTCTTCCCCCAAATAACATTCTCTCTTCCAGAGCAATACAAGCTGCTGAGCGACCACATCGAGCAGATGGCCACTGAGTAGGCCGCGGGAGGGGGCCCAAGGCACTCCTCAGGAGGACCGGGGGTACACACCACCCTCCTGGACCAGCGACTGGCTGTCACCCTCCCCGATGACCCTGCATGACATTGGCAGCACCCAGAGCCGTTCCACGCTGCCCCAGAACTAGCGGTTAGAAGACTCCGGTTGCCCGTCCTTCCCACCTTCCCTCTGCCTGTGTCTACTCCCCCATTCACGTGCCAAAGTGTCCCTGGGATTATGTAGCTAAAATGAGGTGACCATCCATCCTCCCAAGCGTCAGGCCTGTGGCATGGAAATGAAGGAAGAGGAAGGCAGCCAGGGCCAGGGTGGGCACAGGGCAGTATCTACCCACAGCCTCCTGCAAGACAGAGAGGGTGGGCTGTGTGGGGGGTGTAGACAGGGCAGCCATGAGCTGGCACACACCAATGACACGGGGCGGTTATGGGTGATGGCCTGGGACCCTCCATTTCAGGCTTGGAACCGAGCCGACTCCCACAGTCGGGCTCCTGCCGAGCGGCAGTGTGTGGAGGCAGGTGGAGGCCCTCTCGGTGTTGGTCCACGGCTGGTGCCGACTTTTTCCTGGCTCCTCCCTCCTTGTGACAGGAACTAGAGTCACAGGAACCTCGAGGAAGAGACAGACACCTCCTAATTTAGGGAGGGAAGGAGGCCAGCGCGGAGGGCCTGGCCACAGCCAGTGATGCACCCTGGAGACGTCACTATAGTAGTCATACCAGCACTGAGGTGTCTGCGTCACCGTCTGAACTGCTCCTGGTCGGCTGGCCACTTCCTTCTGAAGCAGAGCGCCCTGCCATTCACTCGCTGGGAGTAGCACCATGCTGTCTGTCCTAGGAAACAACAGCACAGGAAAGAGACGTTTCTTCAGGAGCTGCAGGAGAGCCGCCCTTTCTAAAAGCAAACGGTGCTGCCCTTTATTCAAGAAAGACAGCAGAGTCTGTCCGCGTTACAGACAGCTGGGCGTAGGCTGCTCCTGGTGGCGGTTGTGCAAGGCCTGCTAGCGGAGTGGCTTCAGGGGTTGGGTCCTCCACCCCCGGCAGCCTTGGGGAGTCGCCCGAACCTGCTGCCGCCCAAACCCTTTTGAGGTCTTTCCTGCAGGCTCTGCAGATACTCCTCATCTCACATGCAGTACCTGGGCAGCGTGGCTCTTCGCCCTGAGTTTGCACCAGGCACAGGACACCAGCCCAAGGGCGCCGAGGTCTGACCTGCAAGCGTCGGGCATGCTCGCTCCTCCGTGTGAGCGTCTCAGCCTGGCTCCCGCTGCCTCCCGCGCAGCACTGGGGCACTGACCTTGGATAGGCTCGCGTGGCCTCTATCCTCCTCCCCTCCCCCCGCCTGGCCCCGGTTTCCCTACTACCTCCTCCAACTCCAAGTTACAGAATACTGCTCTCTCCTTTTGAGCGCAGCCATCCAGCCAGTGCTCGAAAGGGTCCCCGGTGGAAGGCCTTTCTGGAATGTTCCAGAGAAGAGCGGGTGTTGGTTGAGCCATTGAACGCACATCTGGATAATCGTAAGAGAGGCACCATGAAACACGGTGCAGTCTGAGTGTGGGGTATAAATGTCGCCAGCCAAAAGAGCTGGGTAGGGGGCAGGGCTTCAGAAACCCGGCTCAGTGTTGATGGCTGTGTGTGCGCACGTCACATCAGCCTCCCTGGCGATGTCACTAAGCATAGCACAGCTGTGTTGCTGGTTTGCTTGCCATGTGTGGGGACACCTTGTGCAGACTGCTGTGTCCCCCACCCCAGCCCCACTGCTGGGCCCCAGGGATGGTGCAGGTCTCTACTGATGCTTTTCAGAAGAATAACATCAAAGTTTTGGGTGTGTGGGCCCCTCCTCCTCCAATGTCTCCTTCAGGTAATGCAACCCCCCTAAAACGTTCAGCCGTGGCCCCTGGATGTGCTGCTGTGCTCCCTGCTCTGCCCCCTCTGTAAAATCAGGGCCTTACCTGGTGGTCTGTCCAAGGCCCCCGCAGGGCTGTGTGAAGGCCCTCCCTTTAGCTTGCCCTTGCTGGCTTTATTAGTCATCTCTTAGTAGTTAGTTGAAATCATTAAGACTTCAAGGTGCCCAAAGACTTACCCATGTACATAGAAGATGTTTGTGTAGAAGTTTTGATTCAGCCTGATTTCTGGAGGAAGAAGAGCAGATTCAGAGACTTTCCAGGGTCCTGGTGGGTGAGGGCGGGAGCACACAGCCTGTGGAAGGAAATGCAGCTTCGACTTCTTGGGCTTTTCCAAGCACTTTTACTTCTCAGATGATCTGGAGACTTTTTTTTTTATCAATAGGCCTCTTGAAATAGCAGTTGAGGGTGGAAGCAAGGGTTGCTTTGGTTTTCCCCCTCTCCTTGTTCTCATAGATCCAGCTCCTCAGAGTAGAGTAAGTCTGACCCCGGAGGTGCTGCCCGCCACGCTCAGCACCACAAGGGGACGCTGGCCAAGACCATGGGTCCACCTTGGAGTGACTCATGACAAGGGGGATCAGAAGCTGCTCTGCCTCCAGTTGGCAGCTGCCTCTGGCCAGTGTCACCTGAAGGAGCATGGCATCCTTAGGAAGCTGGCAGCTTGCCTCACTGATATTTCCTCTCCTCCCTGTGACATCGTCTCTTCCCTCCTGGCCTGGCCAGAGCAGACCTGAGGGACTCTGGTGACAAGCAGACACAGGGCACACTCTCAGAGGCCCCAGCGTGAGGAGCTGTATCACCCCAGTGCACACACAGGACGCTTTGGTCAAAGAGAGCTCTGAGCCCTTCCTTTAAACTCAGGAACCTTAGACTCGGAGCAGGAAGCTTCAGGTAATATCCAAGGAGAGAGGTTCCAGTCCCAGCAGGTGCAGTGTCCCAAGCCGGCAGCTTCAAAGGCCTGTTGTTAGCAGTGGCATTCAGATTTTCTGCTGTCTGTCCCTCAGGGCTATATGGATCATAGCGAGCCAAAAGACAAGAAATTCTCTCAAGTAAAAAGTTGCCTGCTTAGAAAACAGGATGAGACTGAAACATAGCCTTGTATATTTTTAACCTTTTTTATGATTTTAGCAATACCGGTGGCTGTGTAAGAGGGGCCGTGTTAGTGTTTAGACTGCATCTGCTGTGTGTGTGCATGTGTGTGTTTAACCAAAGGGAGGAGAGCCAGATTCTGACATTGTAAGTTATTTGTACAGTGAGATGGAGTAGACTATGAGCTTCTTGTTGCCAAAAGAAAGAAAGGTGGGCCAAGGAGCTCTTAAAGTACTAAAAGGAGTAGAAACGAAGTCCTCTTCGGGAGTTCTGTGCCCAAATGAAAACCTAGGGTGTTTGGGTTAACCCAGCACGTCCATGTGGGTTTAGGACAGAAGCCAGGGTGAGAACCAGGGGCACTGCCCCTGGATCCTGTTCTCACCTCTCCATGCTCAGGGAGACCGTGGGATTCATTGTGGCAACAGGGCAACAGCTCGAGGCCTGCTCTTTCACGGACTACTTTAGGTGGGTTAATTTACCACCCGGAGTCCCTGGTACTCCAGCCTCTTGGTGTGAGGAGTACAGCATTCACTCCACAAAGGAGTTCGCCATAGGCTTTGTCTAGCCCAGGTGTCCGTGACTGGAAGGCAGGGCCACAGGCTGCACGCCTGGCCTTCCTGGGCATTACTGTCCCCTAACCTTTGGCTTTTTAATTAGGGAGGAGCCAGGTAGACCCGTGGTTAGGTCAGTTTGACCTAACTTACCCAAATTACCCCAAACTTAAGACAACTGTGCAGTAGGGGCCGAGTCCTTAGCCCAGAACTGTGGGAGCTTGGGGAGCAGGGAGAAGGCAGGAGGGCTCGAGGCCCAGCCCCAGCCTCAGGAGCGGGGTGCAGCGAGCCCCTCCCGCCACACCCAGCCTTCTGGCCTCAGGCTAGTCTTTTCCCATCTTCCTCAACCACAGATGAAACAGTTGCAAGGGTCATTCTTCTCACTCCCTCCCACCCCCACCAGCCTTTGGTTCTCCTGAGCCGTTGCTCTTACAACTCAGCCACCTCACCCTGCTTTCCTGGAAATCAGTTATTCCTTTTTATGACTCTCAGGGATGAGTTTTGCTTGGAAAACTTTCACAGTGAAGGGAAGCTGCATGGCTGGAAAAACCTCTAATTGACTAGTGTGCAGTTTTCAGACCCGAGGCAGGACCAGGGCTCGCTCAGGCCACCCAGGCCGTATGTCCCAGCACATCCATGTTCCCTTGTGGTCGGGAGTAGGAGCTCGCTGGTTCTCCAGATAACAGATGGACAAGTCATTTCCAGATTGTGCACACCCAGTGCATATAGTCAACGCTAAGACCACGGCAGGCTCTCGAGGGGCTTCACTCTGGGCCTGGGTCTCCCTCGTTGTTTCTGGGCCGGGGCAGCCTGTACTCCTCAGGAGGGATGGGAGGAGCACCCTGGGGGCCAGCTTGCTTTGTTCCCTGGGTAACCAGGTATCTACCTGTGTCCCCAAGTCGGCCAGCTGGTGAGTGGAACCCCAGGATTCAAGTGGGGCAGGGCTCCCGGTGACCGGTTCTTGGTTACTATGGGAAACTCGTCATTTTCAGGAGAGAGCCAGGAGGGTCTGGGATTTCCATTCTTTCCATCACACACACACACACCACACCACCCCCACCACCCCCTCCTCTCTCTCAGGACATCTGCCCTGGGTGAGAACCAGATCCTGGCTGAACCTGCAGACAAGGCCAAGTAAGACCAGAGTCCCCATCACCTGGAACTGCTCTGAGCTGCACCTGACTGGGGTTTGCACTTTAGGAAGAGGACTCCTGCTGGTGAATCCCTTGTGCTTGTGGGTTGGTCCTAGAACCGGGGCTGTGCCTGTTCTCTCCTAGACCCTGGGCCACATGCTCGTGAAAAGAGAAAGGGGCTGTGCACAGCAGGCCCTGTCCACACCAAGGCTCTGACACGAGTGGGGTCCTGATCTCTTTCCTGTGCTGGAGACAGCGAGGCTTAGGCTCCCCTGCCCATGAGTTCACAAGCAAGCCTGAGGCTGTCCTTGCTCACGGACACCTTGAGAAAGACAAGCTAAACATTTCAACACTAGAAAATGCCAGAAATTCAAACAACAGACATAGATCCCCTTAGAACATGTAAATGTGTTAGAACCTGGTCCATCTGCTGCCTTTGTTACATGCTGTGGCTTCTACCGGGGCTCCGGGCGATGGTTTATATGCCTGCATTCTCTGTTTTCTCTCACCCAGCTTGTCTCAGACCTAAACGTGCCATGTGGACACCGCCTTTAATAGCCCAAAGGCAGAGTTCACGGCGCGGGTCTTTTACGTGTTACAGTTGTACAGTTTTGTGTATAGATGCTCTGCAAACTACATTTTAAGATTGGGAGGGTTTTAAGGTTGAGGATCTAAGAACAGCGCTAAAATCAAGCCCTGTGTCTTGAAAGAATGTCCATGTATCACACCTCAGATTGTCAGAAGGTGGAAACTGAAATAAATTATCTTTGAAGAAAAAAGTCAGTCTGTTTGTCAATTTCGTGTACCCATGAGGACTTTTTAAATGGAATTTGCTATCTTCTCAGTGACAGTGGCTTTTCAGAAGAAAACTTTTTTCTGGGGTCAGGTAGATGTTTTTACCATTTAGGGTGGTCGTTGGGCCTTGTCCAGATGTGTGCCTCGTGGGAACGCTAAGAGGAGCGTTCCTCTAAATGATGAGGAGCCTGGAAGTGTCTGTTTGGGCTGGGAGGTATGTCTTAGTGAATGGAGTGGCCCCTACCTGGGACTGGATTTCAGCCCAGGGCCTCCAGGATACCTCAGGCCCCTTCCAGTAGAATCCTAATCCTGCTTTTCCTCTGACAAGAGCTGCTCACCTCTTACATTTGGAGATTTAGGAGTTTGGGGGCCTGTAAATGGAAACTGATTACAGCTCCCACCTAATATAAACAGGATGCCTTTATTGGTCCTTTCCAACGTGGTTTGAGAGATGCATTTTGTGAAATAATTGGGCTTTCTCTTTTTCTAATTACAAGAAGTCAGTAGCCACATTCTAATGCTCTGGCCTAAACAGGCCTGGGAGGTGAAGCTGAGGAGAGTAAGGGCCCGGAGAAAGGTTCTTGGTACCAAAGCCTGAAGCAGCAGCTCCGCTTGAGGGGCCCTGGGGGCGGGTGGCTCCCAGGACAAAGGTGCAGGCAGATTACTCCACACCGTGAGATGGGCTGGGGAATGCTCCCTGGGGGATGGGGGCCAACCTGCATGTCCCCAGCTCTCCCACCCAGCCTTGAGGACCCCACCCCTCTTAATCCAACATGGAAGGACAGCCTGGATGGCAGATGCCCCAGCTTCGACATCCCATCTGATGTTTTCCCCTGGTACTCGGGGGATCCCACCAGCATTAGTAGCTCAGGGCTAGATTCAGAGTAGAGCAGGGGCAGGGCGGTAGGCCCAGGTCCTGCCCCACCTTCCCCATAACCTTCCGCCAAATAGCTGTTTGATCCTCAGTTTCTTCATCTGTAAAGTGGGAAGGAAATCATCACCTCTCCTAGAAGGTTCCTGTGAGAATCAGTGCGGCATGTGCACACGTACTTTGCAGATGGCAGAGCCGTGCCTGACCCATTCCCTCGCCTTCCCCCGGAGGGGTAAACCCAGGGAGGCGTACCCATAGGAAGGGTCCCACCCATTAAGGAGGAAAGAAAGAAAACCAAAGTTTTCAGTTTAAATTTTATAGGGACAAATTTGAAATGTATTATTCAAAATTCACAAACGAAATAGAAATGTAAGCAATTAAGCTTTCCAATGGTGTTTCTTTGCAAGTCGCAGCCTTTCACTGCTGACCTGGCCACAGCTTAAAACCGCACTAACTGCTGGAACACCCCGAGGGAGGCTTTCTCCTCGCGTTCGCCCTGCCTGCTGCGGCCACCGGCTCTCTCCTGCCCCAGCCCCAGAAGTGCTCGGCTCCTCTAAAGAAGCCTCTCACCTCTTCCCGTACTTGGGACAAGGGTCTCTTACTCATGAAGCCATTTTTTAATATCATGAGAAGTGACTGTGGTGCTCTCTTTCCTCCCATATTCAGACATCTCTGCAGGTTGCTTGGGGAGCAATGGGGTGAGTTTGCTCAGTGAGGAGGAGGGAAAAGCAAGGGATGCACAGGGAGGAAGACCATCCAATCCAGCAGCTCAGAGACACCCCGAAAGTCATGCTGCTTCCGGCCCTGCCCACCCCACCTCCTACCCCCAAAAGAAAGAAGTCAGAAGTTTTATTGTCACTTCCCAAGTGGCCCCCATACTTAGGAACAGTTGGTCTCGGACATGTTGGGGCCAGAGGGGAAGGGGAGAGGCCCCTCTCGCAGTCAACTTACGTTTCATGAGCACCTACTATGTGCCAGGTTCCATCAGGCTGCGGGACCACCAGATGAATAAACGAGGCCATTTTCCTTCAGAAACTATCAGGGGGGTTGGGGCACAGCTGAAGTTTTAAAAAAGTGTGTGTGTGTGTGTGTTTGCGCACACGCACACATATATATGCTTATAGTATGAAGTATGAGATAAAATAGTCAAAATGTGACTGTGTAATATATAATACAATCTATGAACATGTAATTTTATAAATTATTATATAGAAAATATAAAATGCTTTAGTTATTTTTGGAATATCCTTGTGGGTGGAATCAGGGTGGGCTTCCCTGGGGAGGTGCCACAGAGCTGGATTTCAGGTAATAAAAATCACTGTGGCCCTGGCCGGTGTGGCTCAGTTAGTTGGGTATCATCCTCTGCACCAAAAGTTTGCTGGTTTGATTCCCAGTCAGGGTACATGCCCAGCTTGGGGCTCGATTCCCCAGTAGGGGGCGTGCAGGGGCAGATGATCCATGTTTCGCTCTCACATCAATGTTTCTCTTTCTAAAAGTCAATTTTTAAAAATGTTTTTAAAAAATCACTATGGTAAGGATGTTAATCCTGCAGTGATCCCATGAAGAAAGTTTTGTGTCCCTCTCTTTGCTGATGAGAAAATCATGTAAACCCCTTCCTTTACCCACATCACCCCTCCACTCCCCTGGACTTCTGTGATGTGTCCCCAGTCCCAAGGTCATCCCTGCACACCATGTTCGAGTTATGGGATGAGTCAACTTACATGTAGAAGTCCGAACTCCCAGAGCCTCAGAATGTGGCCTTAATTGGAAGTAGATTCTTATTTGTAATTAGTTGAGATGAGGTCATACTGGATAGGGCAGCTTCCTGCTCCAGTGGGGCTGGTGTCCTTATAAAAAGAGAGAATTTGGACACCAACACACACAGAGTTTAGACACTCGAGTCCCCAGGTCACAAGTGGGAAATGAGAGGACGAGTCAGGCTGGGATGCACTCCATGTTTATTGAACACCTGTTATGCACCAGGCACCATGCTAGGCACATTGATCCCCAGAGCGACCTGGGAGGGGAGTGATATTGTCCCTGTTGTACAGATGAGGAAACTGAAGCTCAGAGGACACATGACTTGCCAAGTATACACAGCAGAGTCCCCCTGACCATCCAGGGTTGGCCCCTAGTTTTCCGACTGTGGGGTTCTTGTCCTGTTGATGGAGTCCCCACCCCATCCCCTGAGGTCCTCCTTCAGGTCCTCCTCAGCAGAGTCGTCCTCACCTGCCTTCTCTTCCTCCCTCTGGCTCTGTATGGTGCTCTGAGCACTCTAAATAATGATAATAATAGTAATCATCATCATCATCACAGCAACAGCATCAACGAAAATAATGATGGTGGCAAGCATTGAGCATTTTCTAAACATTTTTTGTAGATTTGTTCACCTAATACCACAACCCTACGAAGGGGGTACTCTTTTAGCCTCATTTTGCAGGTGAGGCATCTAAAGCACAGAGAGGTTGAGACACTTTCCCAAGGTCACTCAGCTTGGGAGCAGTGGGTTTGGATCCAGTGAGCCTGGCTGAGGCCACACCTCCTACATTGCCTTTGGAGAGAATTATTCAGAAAGCCAAGAGACACCCCCTGCCCCCTCCACACACTGTGGGGCGAGATCCCGCCATTGGGTGACTCACCCTACCCTATTGGCATGAGGCGACTTCGAGTCTTTACTTATGCTGCTCGGTTAAATACTCAGAGATTTCCCTGCATAAATATAAATGTGTGTGATCACAGGCCTCGCTGGGCTCGGGGTCACTTGAAGTATATGCGCCATGTGACTTTTCCAAAGGCTGACTTCTGAAAGCCACGGAGAAAACCCCTGGAGGGAGGGGGGACGGGAGAGGACCATCCAGAGCCCTGCAAGTGCACGTGACGGCAGGACGCCTCTAGGCGGCGCTCGGGACACGCGGTGGCCGCACCGCTGAGTTCCTTGGCTTATTGATTCCCCCGCCAGCAAGCCCAGGCTGACTGGCCGGCAGCTCCTCCTTCTCGGTGCCTCCTTTCAAACCCATGCTCTCCCGTGGCCTCTCCCCCCGTCACTCTCCTTTGTCACAGTTTAATAGCCCCATCCCCAGTGCTCACCTGGCAGGGGAGAGACGAAGGGACAGCTGCGGAGCGAGTGGTATCCCTGAGCGGCCGAGCGTCGTAATGCCCATAAAGCCTGTGCATCTTGGCTCTAAAATCCTGCCACGGAGAGACTCGGGTGGGTTAGATCCAGTCGGGAAACAGATGGGGTGGGAGTGGGAAGGTGGTGGGACACAGCTAACGCTGCCGGCGCCCCCACTTGCACCGGCCTATCCTGGAAGCCCCTGTTCATTATTCCATGTGATCTACACCAGCCCCCTAAGTGGGCATTACCATCCTGTTTTACAGATGGGGAAACTGAGGCCCATAGAGGCTAGGTAACCCGTCTAGAGTCACACAGGAAAATTGGAGCTCACTCTCACCCCTAAAGGAATATCACAGAGATGGTGGGTGCAGAGAGCCCATCGGATCTGCCTTTAACCTCACACGGTGGTTTTAAAGCTCACCTACCGATTCTCCGACACGCTCCCACTAGGAGCCGGGATATAATTCTCCGCCCCTTGAGTGTGGCCTTAGAGACTCACTTCTGAGAACAGAATGCAGGAGAAGTGACACTAAGTTACTTCTAAGGTTGGGTCACCAAAGGCAGTAGTTTCTTCCTGGCTCTGTCTCGGATGGACACTCACTCCGGGGCCAGCTGCCATGCTGTGAGGAGGCCACGCCACACGGAGAGGCCACGGGCAGGTACTAGGGCCCCAGGGCCCAGACGGGGTGGGCCTTGTGTGTGTGTGCGGCTCCTGCACTTGTCCAGGGCCCTGAGCTCGGAAGGAGCCGCTGTCACTGTCTTGAAATTCATAGTAATTGTTGAACAGAAGGTCTATGTCTTCATTTTGCTCTGAGTCCCACAAATCACGTGGCCCGTCCTGTACCCAGATGACAGCCATCAACTACCAGACGTGAGTGAGGAAGCCTTTGAAAAGGATCCAGCCCCAGCTACTGACTGATCGCAAACTGATGACAGACCCAAGTGAGGACCACCCAGCTGAGCTCACCAACCCCAGAACCACAGAAGGTAATTGCGACAAGTGACTGCTGTTCACACCCCTGGGTGTGGCACCGTGTGGCATAGGTCACTCAGACAGAGATTTTCATCAGCTCAAATGGGGTAACAAGCACCCCGTGAACATCTGAACAACAGCAAGCATCACTGGAGAGACTTTTTGTCATTGCTGATTCATTTGCTTGTTTTGAAACACCCAAACGATGATGGACACGTCGATATTCCAGATAGTGTTTGGAAATTCGCCACCTCTAGGGTTGGCACCCAGGGGCGGATGTTCACAACAGTTCATCAGAGCGAGTCTAAAATTATAAAAACTACAAAATGTTGCCAACAAAATATGCTTCTATCAAGACAGAACCGAAATTGAATTCAGCCCCACGCCACCAGCCAGAACCAGGGGCATCTGTGACCTACCTCCAGGTCCCCCTCCAGGTCATAGTTCTCCAGGGTCTGGAGGGCGCTGGAGTACACCTCCACCGCTTTGGCGTGGAAGACCATCTCAATGGTCACAAAGTCCGAGAAGATCTTCTACGGGGAGGGAAGTGCGGATCACATAAGCAACACTGTCAGGAGGGTCCTGGGGCCACTTCACATGTGGACAAACTGGGGGGTGAGGGGGGATTAGTCATCCTTATGGGAACAGGTCCCAGGTCAATGTTATTTTTCATTTGTTTGAACAGATAATGCATCCCATTCCAAAGCTGCCTCGCACAGGGATTATTCTCAGTGAGGACTTCCTGAGGGGAGTCCTTTCCTCAGCTCTGTCCCCTGGGCTCATCCACTCTGTCTTTGCTTCTCTCACTTGGAGGACAGGTGTTTGCAGGTTGATGGCTACAAACCTTCAGCCTCTGCTACCCATGGGCTGTGAGTGGGTCTTCCGGGAGAGGGAAGGGTGCTGTTGGTAGACACTGCTCCGCTGAGAGGCCCCACAACCTGACTAGTTAGCACGTTAAAATGTAATTAGATGTTGGTTTCTTTTGATCAGATGGTTCAGCTCGGCTCAGAAAGCTCTTAGAGGGTTCCTACTGCCTGTTCGGTCCCAGTGGGTGCTCCTACTGTGTGCAGGCTTATCACAAGCTCCTACTGTGTGCCAGGCCTGAGAGGAAACTCTTACTGTGTGTCAGGCCCCAATGGGGGCTCCTACTATGTGCAGGGCTTAGCATAAGCTCTTACTGTGTGCCAGGCCTGAGAGGAGACTTCTACTGTGTGTCAGGCTCAGCACAGGCCCCTATTTTTTATCAGGTCCCAGCAGGGGCTCCTTTGTGTTTGGGCCCTAGCACAAGCTCCTACTGTGTGCAGGGCCTAGCACACACTCCTACTGTACGACAAGCCTGAGAGGAGACTCCTACGGTATGTCAGGCCCCAGCAGGGGCTCCTTTGTGTTTGGGCCCTAGCAGGGCACGGGCTTGGTCCAGGGGAGGAGCCTGCAGTTTGGACACAGACCACTTCAGGTAACGGGAAGCACCTGGGGGAGGTGGGCCAGAGGAAGCCCGCAAGGCAGCCTGGGANTCAGGGGAGGAGCCTGCAGTTTGGACAGACCACTTCAGGTAACGGGAAGCACCTGGGGGAGGTGGGCCAGAGGAAGCCCGCAAGGCAGCCTGGGAGAAGACAGAGGACAGGGTCCCAAGCCTGATGGAAGTACCCGCCTCCTCCCCTCCTGTCCCCAGCCAGCATGCTGGCAACAGCAGCTGCCAATCAAGAGGCGGGGTCAAGCCTCATCCTGCTGGGCCCTGGCATGGGCCCTGGGAAATGACGTCCTCTCCAGCCTCAGTTTATTCATCTGCACTATAGGGACAGGGCGGTCCCGTTCACAGAGCCCTGTGAGAATTCAGTTAGCTCTCAGCCTGTGCTTCCCGCATCAGCACCAGTCCCGCCCAGGAGCTTGTGAGAAATGCCAATTCCCCAGCCCACCCAGCCCCACGGGTGGGGATCCAGGACAGCCTGCGGTTCTGCAGCTTGGGGAGCCTTCTGGGTGACTTCTAACGCACGCTCAGATATGTGAACCGCTGTGGGAAAGTGTTACTTACATTTTTTTAGAGGGGCTGGAGGGCTCTTTTGGAAACATGATCATTTTATTAGAAGTGTGACCGAAAATCAATATGGTGGTCATCATTATTTCAAGTTCTGGGTTTTTATCTCTTATAATGTGGAGGGCTTTTGTGGGGATGGCTTGGTTAAAGTGTCTCTTATCAACTTGACCCTGGAAGTTTAAAGGCTGCCCAGTTTAAACTGCAGCTCCCGCTGGCCCCTGACCTGGAGACTGAGAATCTTGTGCTCTTGCTGGCGCTCCACGGAGCCCTGCTTTCAGGTCTCAAACAGCAGGTGCTTAATAATGGCCAGCTGGTGGTCTTCAGTCCTGCCTGCAACTTAGATGCTCCAGCACTAATTACCACTGTTTACTCACTTGTGCATTTGTTCATTTATTTATTTCCCAAATACTCACTGAGTACTGCTAAGTGCCAGGCCCTGGACCTGGTGCCCAGGACCCAGCAGGTGACAAGACAAGTAGGGGTCTGCCCTGTGGACTTGCGGTGTGGGAGGCAGGCATGGGACAGCGAGTTCTCCACAACCCTCTCCACTCCCTGATGAATAGCAAGCGGCATGGTGGGGGCCTGTGGCGGGGCAGGATGTCAACTCCTTGAGGACAGGGGCCTTGCTTTGCTGGCTATGGTGTTCCCAGCCTCAGGCAAAGCACCTGGCACGTAGTAGGTGTGCATTGAATATTTGTTAGATTAATGAGTAAATTAAAGGTATAACTAACTGCCCCCAGAGGGGACAGAGCAGAGTGTATTAAGAATGGGGCTGGAGTGGTCTGGGGGTCCAGGTGACTTTCCCTGAGAGATGAGAGCCTTCCTGGTAGAAGGTACAGCCTGTGCAAAGGTCCTGTGGTACCAACGGGCTTTGTGCACTTGGGCTTGGAGTGGACTGTCTATGATGAGGCTTGGGGGCTGGGCTGGGGCTTCTGGAGCCTTGGGGAGGGTTTAGGCCTTTATCCTTGGAACAAGGGGAGTCACAGGAGTGTGTTAAACCCAGGAGTGACAGATTGGAGCTGCCTTTAATGAAATCCTTGAAGCTGCAGTTTGGAAAATGGACGAGAGGGGGCCATGTGGGTGCAGGGGCCTGTGTGATCAGCTTGTCCTTCAAGACCCCAATGCCCTGAGGCTGTCTTACAGGAGCTGGGCTCTGGGTCCAGGGTTCTGGGTTGCACTGGGGTGGCATCCAGGCGGCAGGAAGGCTCACCTGCACATTTAGAGCTTCACGGAGAGAAAGATGAAGTAGGGCAAGTCCTGAGGGTCTTTGTGAGGAAAGAAGGGGCCTGGGGGGACACACTCTGCCAAGCTCTCCTGGTGGGGAGCTGGGCCCCGGTGTTGAGGGGCAGGGCTGCTGAATGTTGGCTTCAGGGCAGGCCAGCTGTGAACGACAGCTGCCCTGAGCAGCCGTCTCCTACCCCCAAGCAAGGATTAGGCCGGGATTAACTGTGCCCGGAGCTGAGTGGGCACAAGCTCTCTCTCTCTCACACACACACACACACACACTCTCTCTCTCTCTCTCTCTCTCTCACACACACGGGTGCGCGCACACACAAATGCGCACATGCACAGCAGAACTCCCAACATGGGCAGACCACCCCTACCTGCAGGTCCTTCAGCTTCTGCTTCTGGAAGGCGTCAACTGTCTCCTCCAGCTGGTGGGTGGTGCGGCTGGTGGCCACCGAGGCCTTCTGCACGCTGGTCTCTGCCTGCCGCAGAGGTAGACAGTTTCAGGGTGGTTCCATTCTGCATCTTTCGCCATCTCCTGGCCCTGCTCTGGGCCAGCTCTTCTGCCTCATGGGGTCTCTTGCCCATTTGACCCTCGAAGAAATGGCCGAGTAGGACCATAGCTAAAGGGGCAGGTGCTGCTTAGACAGATTTGCTTGCTACCTGTGTGATCTCATGCAAGTCACTTAACCTCTCTGAGCCTCAATTCCGTGCCTGTAAACAGGAGACAGTGATAAGACCTACTTGGTAGGGTTGTTGTAAGAATTAAACAGTGGGCACCTGCTGAGCTGTTATTTTAACAGGTGCTCCACATCAGGCAATAATTAATTCCTGCGTGTGGAACATTCTTAAGTTAATTAACTAATTCCCTGGTTCCTTTGATTGGCATCTGTATGCCCCGACTTTACCCAGGCACACAAAGAACCTGGATTTTAGGGTGAGGCGCCCCTAGCTGAGTTTTGGGTTTGCCCCGTTAGCTCCCTTGTGACCTTGGGCAAGTCACCTGTCTTAGCCTGGGTTTCGCATCTAGAAGTGCCTGCCCGGAGTGACTGTTAAATAGGTAACCTGAGAAGGGGAGTGATTGCTGACCTCCTGATAGTGTCAATGATGGGACAGAACCCGGGGCTCCTGGCCCCCAGCTCCCCCTCCCCCCTGACTTTCCTCTCCTGAGCCCCGCACACACCCGCCCAGGTAAAAGCTCACCTCGCTGTTTTGCGAGGTCTTTCATTACCTGCGTGCGATTCTACCTTCCCCAGACAGACACTGTGACCCTCACCTGGGACTGAGAGGTGTTGTTAAGGAGCCAGGGTAACCAGGAGCCCTCGCCAGAGGGTGCCCGTGACAACAGTCACCCTGGCCCCGCGGCCAGGCCCACTCCCGGGAAGGATACGATCATCTGCCTATCCCAAGGCGACTTCTGCCTCAGTTTCTCCAGCTTTTCCAGTTGTTTGATCTCATTATCCCGGACGTGTTTGCATTTCTTGATCTCGGCCTAAAGACGGAGAGCTGTTTCCTGGGGCTCTAGCAGGCCCAGCCCCAGACACGGCCCACCTCGCAGTGCGGAGCCTTCACTCACCCGCGTCTGCTTTATCTGAGACCCATAGAGCTTCAGGGGGTTAACCACCTTGACCTCCAGCCTCTCGACCTGGGGGAGCACAGACATGCAGAGGATCAGAGTGGACGGCGCCAGGGAGATGCCGGCATTTATAGCACCGTCAGCACACAGAGCTGCAAGGCGGGGCCTGTGGGGGGCAGGGGAGCACCGGATGCCCTCCCTCACCCTGGGGTTGGGAGCACCAGCCTGGGCTCAGGGCTCTGCCTCCCAAGGGCTTGGGCAATACATTTCATCTTGCTGAGCCTCGTCTCCTTGCCTGTAAAATGGGTACAATGATGTATCCACCCAGGGATGGGTACAGGCATAGGACCTGTCACTATTTTGGTTCTCCAAACTGCCTGAGGATCTCACCTGGGAGACTACATAAACCTGCCTGGAACACAGAATAGCCTGGGATTCAGAGCTGACCGTGCGTGTAGCCCCCCAAGAACACAGCAGGGGCGGCAAGGGGGATGCCTCACACCCCTGAGCCAGTGCCTCTGTGCCTCCCCTAATACTAGACACTTTAATAAACAATATCGGTACTCATAATAACAATCACGATTAAAACTAATGTCAAGTGCTTACTCTGTGCCCAGCATCATTCAGAATCAAGAAGTGTCACCCTAAAGCAGGCCTGGGGTGCCCCTCAAGGGTTCCTGAGAACCCAGAATGCCGGTCACCACCCCAGAGATTCTGACAGCAGGTCCAGGGCCCAGCCTGAGAATCTGCATTTCTAACAAGCTCCTAGGGGAGGCCGATGCCTTGAGGATGGGCTCCCTGCAAACCTGGCTCACCAGATGGGCCAGGGGAGCTGCACATCCCACCGAGCCCTTCTAAGAATAAACACTAATCAAAAAAAAACTTTCCCCAGTGCCAAAGGGAAAGGGACTGTTCCTTCCTGTTCCTTAAAGCATTTCTTTTAGAAAACTTGCCACTGGGAATCCATTCTCTATCCCTTTGAGATGTATCTAAACCTTTTTCAAAGATAAAGAAGCCTCTTGCGGGTTTTACAACCCAGGACCGGCAGACATGTCTTTGAAATGTCAACATCCAGGAAGACAGTGTCTCAGGAGTTTCCCCCTGGTGACCCGGCTCCAAGCTGTAACCACCTGCTTGTCACAGAAACATGAGAAGTTTCACTTCTCCATTGGATGAAAACCATTAGCTAGCGCAGGTGGTCACCCAGTCACCAGATGGACTTAGAAAATCCTGTGTGACAAAGGTGCTGAGTCCCCTTACCTGAGGACAAGGTATCCCTGCCTGGAGAACCCAGGGACGTGCCTGTGGGGGTTCTTGCTGCCTGGCTGGCTGCCTGGCTGCACAGGGGCTGAGGTCTCTGTCTGTCTTTGGCATCACTAATTGGATCTCCTGCGATGCGCACGAGTCTGGTTTAATGCTCATTTAGTAGAAAAGCTGTTTTTTCTTTTCGGTAATCACGGAGAGGAGTTTTCTGAGCAGGCAGGAGGTTTTTATTTTTCATTGTTTTCTTAATACGCTGCAGTCTCCTTGGCCTCAGCCCCCAGGAGGTCTGTCCCTTCTCCAGGCCCTCTGGGCCCTGGGAATGTGCCTCCTGCCTGGGACGCAGGGAGCCCACAGAGGCAGTGCCCAGGATGCCTTCCTGGGGCTTCTTGCCTTGTCCACGGCTCATCCAACTCCAAAAAGCCTCCTGCCCCCAGTCCTATAAATGGAGGTGTGACCCCACACACGCCCAGGGAGGGGATGTCCATTGGCCGTGGCCCCTGAAGGGCTGCCCGACCCTCTGACCCCGCCCTGGCAATGGGCCCACGTCCTCTGCAGCCGGGCTCACCTGGGCCTGCCGGTAATCCTGCACTTTGGCCAGGTCCTCGGCAAAGTTCCTCACGGTGGCCCGCATCTCGGGGGTCTCGGTGTTGGCGAAGTCGATGAGCTGCTTGACCAGCTGGTCGGCCTTGTCCCGCAGCCGGGCCGTCTTTCGGGTGTAGGCCGCCAGCAGCGAGCAGAGCTGGCCGAAGTACTTCTCGGCGGTGGTCACCGTGTCCTCCATCACCCTCACCTGGCTGTCCCTGGGGAGGCGGGGCCTGAGGGGGCATCTGGGCAGCGACACAGGCTCACCCACCCATCACCTTCCTTCTAGGTGGCAAGCGCCGGGGCAGGCATCTGGTCCCTGGGATAACGCTCAAGGTCGGGTGTCAGCCCATGAGACAGATGCGGGAGACCGGCTGGGTCGCAGAGCTGGCTGGTGGCCAGGCGGGAATGCAACCCTTTATTTCTTGGTCTCCCCGGCAGTTATGCTTTATTTCCTGGCTGCCCCGGTCTCTTCCTTCTGACGTTCCCTCTTTCCTATCTTCTCCCCAAGCCGTTGAAATTCTCCTCCTTCCCTGAACCCTGAAGCTTTATTTTTGTTCCTTAATTCATGAGCTTCCTGGGAGACCGGTTTTAGGTTTACAGAAAAACTGAGTGCAAAGTACAGCGAGTCCGCTCCCCCTGAGCTCACACACTCGCTGTTAGTAACATCTTGTTACTGGGGGACATTGGTTATAAAAGATGAACCAACAGTGATGCATTATTAACTACAAGCCATAGTTTACATTAGGGTTCGTGTTTACATGGCGTTGTCCATTCTGTGCGTTTTGACAAATGCATGCTGCCTGTATCCACCGTCACGGGGTCATCGGGAGCAGTCTCCNCGCGTCTGCTTTATCTGAGACCCATAGAGCTTCAGGGGGTTAACCACCTTGACCTCCAGCCTCTCGACCTGGGGGAGCACAGACATGCAGAGGATCAGAGTGGACGGCGCCAGGGAGATGCCGGCATTTATAGCACCGTCAGCACACAGAGCTGCAAGGCGGGGCCTGTGGGGGGCAGGGGAGCACCGGATGCCCTCCCTCACCCTGGGGTTGGGAGCACCAGCCTGGGCTCAGGGCTCTGCCTCCCAAGGGCTTGGGCAATACATTTCATCTTGCTGAGCCTCGTCTCCTTGCCTGTAAAATGGGTACAATGATGTATCCACCCAGGGATGGGTACAGGCATAGGACCTGTCACTATTTTGGTTCTCCAAACTGCCTGAGGATCTCACCTGGGAGACTACATAAACCTGCCTGGAACACGGAATAGCCTGGGATTCAGAGCTGACCGCGCGTGTAGCCCCCAAGAACACAGCAGGGGCGGCAAGGGGGATGCCTCACACCCCTGAGCCAGTGCCTATNAGAATAGCCTGGGATTCAGAGCTGACCGTGCGTGTAGCCCCCCAAGAACACAGCAGGGGCGGCAAGGGGGATGCCTCACACCCCTGAGCCAGTGCCTCTGTGCCTCCCCTAATACTAGACACTTTAATAAACAATATCGGTACTNGCCAGTGCCTATGTGCCACCCCTAATACTAGACACTTTAATAAACAATATCGGTACTCATAATAACAATCACGATTAAAACTAATGTCAAGTGCTTACTCTGTGCCCAGCATCATTCAGAATCAAGAAGTGTCACCCTAAAGCAGGCCTGGGGTGCCCCTCAAGGGTTCCTGAGAACCCAGAATGCCGGTCACCACCCCAGAGATTCTGACAGCAGGTCCAGGGCCCAGCCTGAGAATCTGCATTTCTAACAAGCTCCTAGGGGAGGCCGATGCCTTGAGGATGGGCTCCCTGCAAACCTGGCTCACCAGATGGGCCAGGGGAGCTGCACATCCCACCGAGCCCTTCTAAGAATAAACACTAATCAAAAAAAAACTTTCCCCAGTGCCAAAGGGAAAGGGACTGTTCCTTCCTGTTCCTTAAAGCATTTCTTTTAGAAAACTTGCCACTGGGAATCCATTCTCTATCCCTTTGAGATGTATCTAAACCTTTTTCAAAGATAAAGAAGCCTCTTGCGGGTTTTACAACCCAGGACCGGCAGACATGTCTTTGAAATGTCAACATCCAGGAAGACAGTGTCTCAGGAGTTTCCCCCTGGTGACCCGGCTCCAAGCTGTAACCACCTGCTTGTCACAGAAACATGAGAAGTTTCACTTCTCCATTGGATGAAAACCATTAGCTAGCGCAGGTGGTCACCCAGTCACCAGATGGACTTAGAAAATCCTGTGTGACAAAGGTGCTGAGTCCCCTTACCTGAGGACAAGGTATCCCTGCCTGGAGAACCCAGGGACGTGCCTGTGGGGGTTCTTGCTGCCTGGCTGGCTGCCTGGCTGCACAGGGGCTGAGGTCTCTGTCTGTCTTTGGCATCACTAATTGGATCTCCTGCGATGCGCACGAGTCTGGTTTAATGCTCATTTAGTAGAAAAGCTGTTTTTTCTTTTCGGTAATCACGGAGAGGAGTTTTCTGAGCAGGCAGGAGGTTTTTATTTTTCATTGTTTTCTTAATACGCTGCAGTCTCCTTGGCCTCAGCCCCCAGGAGGTCTGTCCCTTCTCCAGGCCCTCTGGGCCCTGGGAATGTGCCTCCTGCCTGGGACGCAGGGAGCCCACAGAGGCAGTGCCCAGGATGCCTTCCTGGGGCTTCTTGCCTTGTCCACGGCTCATCCAACTCCAAAAAGCCTCCTGCCCCCAGTCCTATAAATGGAGGTGTGACCCCACACACGCCCAGGGAGGGGATGTCCATTGGCCGTGGCCCCTGAAGGGCTGCCCGACCCTCTGACCCCGCCCTGGCAATGGGCCCACGTCCTCTGCAGCCGGGCTCACCTGGGCCTGCCGGTAATCCTGCACTTTGGCCAGGTCCTCGGCAAAGTTCCTCACGGTGGCCCGCATCTCGGGGGTCTCGGTGTTGGCGAAGTCGATGAGCTGCTTGACCAGCTGGTCGGCCTTGTCCCGCAGCCGGGCCGTCTTTCGGGTGTAGGCCGCCAGCAGCGAGCAGAGCTGGCCGAAGTACTTCTCGGCGGTGGTCACCGTGTCCTCCATCACCCTCACCTGGCTGTCCCTGGGGAGGCGGGGCCTGAGGGGGCATCTGGGCAGCGACACAGGCTCACCCACCCATCACCTTCCTTCTAGGTGGCAAGCGCCGGGGCAGGCGTCTGGTCCCTGGGATAACGCTCAAGGTCGGGTGTCAGCCCATGAGACAGATGCGGGAGACCGGCTGGGTCGCAGAGCTGGCTGGTGGCCAGGCGGGAATGCAACCCTTTATTTCTTGGTCTCCCCGGCAGTTATGCTTTATTTCCTGGCTGCCCCGGTCTCTTCCTTCTGACGTTCCCTCTTTCCTATCTTCTCCCCAAGCCGTTGAAATTCTCCTCCTTCCCTGAACCCTGAAGCTTTATTTTTGTTCCTTAATTCATGAGCTTCCTGGGAGACCGGTTTTAGGTTTACAGAAAAACTGAGTGCAAAGTACAGCGAGTCCGCTCCCCCTGAGCTCACACACTCGCTGTTAGTAACATCTTGTTACTGGGGGACATTGGTTATAAAAGATGAACCAACAGTGATGCATTATTAACTACAAGCCATAGTTTACATTAGGGTTCGTGTTTACATGGCGTTGTCCATTCTGTGCGTTTTGACAAATGCATGCTGCCTGTATCCACCGTCACGGGGTCATCGGGAGCAGTCTCCTGGCGCCATCCACTCCCCCCTCCCTCCCCCAGCCCTGGAGCTTTAGTTTGCCTGCCTGGCATGTCACCGATCACTTCTGCCCTGCTTGGTTTCTCTCGCCCTCCAGTCTTCACGCTGCTGGCCTGGTGCCTGTTCCCAGCAGGTGTCAGTGAGGGTGGGGAATGAAGGAAGGACCCGCCGAATTCAGTCTCCCCTAAACATCCTTGGCACTCAGCTCCCTCCTGGGCCTCTACCCCAGCTCTGAGCCCCTGTCCCCAGGCTTTGCTGCCTCTCTCCAGTTGACCAAAGTTCCCTGTGCAACCCTCCAATCACATCCCTAAAGCTGGAAACTGGGAGGAGAGTCCTTGACCTCCTTCTAACAAATCCTAAGTCGTGCACCACTTCACAGTTTGCAAAACACTCTACACAGAGTTACCCATATGCAAGACACTATTACTGTCACCATTTTTTTTAAAAAGAGTAAACTGAGGCTCAGAGAGGTGAAGTGTGTTGCTCNGTCGTGCACCACTTCACAGTTTGCAAAACACTCCGTGTGAGTTACCCATATGCAAGACACTATTACTGTCACCATTTTTTTAAAAAGAGTAAACTGAGGCTCAGAGAGGTGAAGTGTGTTGCTCAAGGTCACACAGTTGCCTGCAGTATTAGCTTCTGCAGGTGGAGTCCTTGGACCTACCCCCGCTCAGAATCACAAGTTAACTTAATCACAAGTTAAGTATGCAGTTCCCCAGGCCCCCAGCCCAGATTTATGAACCAGAATCCTTGTGAGGGAGGCCCAGGGGCTGCATTTTTTAAAAAGTACATAAGTGATTCAGAGACACCCTCAAGTTTGAGACCATCAGAGGAACCAGGCAGGGAAACAACAGGGTAAAGGGCTGGCGAGTTGTGAGAGAGCAGTGATAGAATCAGGCCAGAGAGAGTGGGGTTGGGACAATTCCACAGAAGGGGTGATGCCTGGTGGGGCTTTGAGGCATGAAGAGGGGTTTTCCAGGTGGAGGTGAGTGAGGGAAGTTGGGAATGGACCCTGTGAATTTGGCTACTCCAGAGCTGTGGGCAGTAATGCTGGAGAAGCTGACAGAGGCCATATTCTAGAAGTCTTCTCTTGACCTTGAGGTGGGCGGGTGTGGAAGAAAGCTCACTCTCATCATTCCCCACCTCCCCAACTCTATCCCCACCGAGCAATCCCAGCTGCCCCACCTGTCTTGGTGCATCGGGCCCTGAAAACCCAGCCTACCCCTCCTTACCTCCCAGCCAGGGACAGCACCAGCGCCAGCACCAGCACAGCCACTTACCCGAAGAAAACAATGTTCATTGTGCCCAGAGGCACCAGCGTCTTGGTCTTGAGGAAATAGGACAGGGCCTCAGGGGTCCTGCTGGCCCGTGAGAAGCAGGGCGGGCTGGGCACAGCTGCGTGGTCCTGGCTCAAGGGACGCAGCCACCTGGTTGCCGAGCAACGTGGCCACTCACAGCTGCCCTGGGAGGAGACTCTGCTGGTTGCCTGGCAACCCCTCCCCAGGCCAGCCTCTCCCAGTGGGTTAGGAGGGCCTGCCCAGCCTTGCACTGACTCAGGGAGCCCCAGAGAGGCCCACACTGTCCCCTTGAAGGCAGAGGTTCTTGTGGAACAGGGCAGTGGTGAGGGTCCCCAGGAGGTGGCCGGGATTGGATTTAGGACAGCTTACCTGGGACTCAGCCCTGGGCCCAGCCATGTTTGTGGGTCCTGCGTGCTGAGGCCCCTCTTCCTTCGAGGAGGCCACAAGGCCTTCCCCAGGGGTCTGGGAGAGCAGGCAGGGTCCTAGGAGACCTGGTTACTCAGGAGGGTGTGTGGAAAAGCACAGAGGAAATCCGGGGAGGCCCGAGGCCTCAGAGCTCAATGGCAGGGACAGGGCACCCACTCAAAGGGACATCTTAAAAAATTTTAACACCATTTTATTGTTTTCTCCCCTTATAATAAACACCACCTGTTCCTTGTCAGAAAAGTAAGAAAATAGAGCTAACACAAAAGAAGAAAAGATAACGGCACATATAAAATTGTACTAATTAAGTACAATACATTTTACTAACTGTAAGATGTGAACATTTCCGTGTATCTACACTTTACCTCAAGGAAAGAAATAAGATACTAATAACCACACCAGCGATAAGAGTTTGGACGGGAGAGGGGGGAGGTGCGGGAGAAGCCAGAATAGCAGAATGTTGGTAACCGTTGCCCTGTGAGACTCGCTATAGATGCTGCTCACTTTGCCTATGTCTGAGGTTTTCATAATGAAGAGCCTTTAAAAAAAAAAAAAGGCACATAGAAAAGCAAACTTTAGAGTCATCTAAACACAGGTTCAAATCCCAGCCCCCAGCCCTGTGTGACCTTGAGCAAGTCACCTGACCTCTCTGGGCAGCAGTCTTCTGCCCTGTAAATGGGATCGTGGCAATATCTACTTGTCTCGTTGCTAGAACAAATAAGTCCCTGGTGTGAGGGTTAAAGGACAGGGCAGGGACCAGACAGCGCTGCTACTCCTTACAAGTAGGCCCGGGTGTGTTGGCTCCCCGGGGCCCGGTCCTGAGAGCCCCACCATCCTATTCTGGTTGCCAGCCCTCTCCCCACACTTCTCTGACCCTGGTGCTCCCCGTAGGCGCTGAGTAATGCATAGGCTTAAGGCAGCTGCTTCCAAGAGGCAGGAAAGCCCTCCCCGAGAGCCCTCAGAGGGAGCACGGCCCTGTTGACACTTCGATTTGGGGCTTCTGGCCTCCAGAACTGGGAGAGGAGAAGTCACTGTGGTTGTGAGCCCCCAGCTTATGGCAATTTGTGATGGCAGCCCCAGGACTCTCATGCAGGGTCCAAAGAGAGCAGAGTGAGCCACACTGGCCGCCTCTCACGCCCTCCCGCAGGGGCAGGCTGGCCGGCACATCTCTCCGGGACCTGTTCCCTCTTCTCTCCATCTCTGAGGCAGTCCCTCCTCCAATGACACCGCTCCCTACACCCCCTTCTGTCCCTGTGCCCACTCACCCTAAACACTCCCTGGGTGTCCCCTTGTCTTCCTGAAAGGCCAGCTCCTAGAGGGAAAGGGCCGTACCTTATACTTTCCGTGACCCTGTTGGTCGGTTAATTCCCTCACACACAAGCCTGCCGGGGGCTCCAGGTCCCCTCCCTGGCAGCTCCCCAGGTCCTTGACCCAGCCAGCCTCTCGCTGTCGGTTCATCCCCACGGTCTCCTCCCAGTGGCTTCAACAAAAGCGGCCTCTCCTTATGGAGAAAGTCTCCCAGCTGATTTCCTTACTCCCCTCCGCCCACACCCCTTCCCACGAGAGCTCTGCACACCAGCGGCCTTTCCTCGCTCTGTTCCCGCCCCTCCCACGCGATTTCCAGCCACTGCCTCTTTGTCAGCTGCACCAAGCCATCCCCGGTCCCCAAGTCCGGTGCCCCTGCTCGGTCCTGCTCCCCAACCCCTCCAGGCCACTCTTACCTTCTTGAGACTTCTCTTCCCCTCTCCCCCCCCAGGGTGGGGGCACTGGCCACCCCCCCGTCACACCTCCGCAGGCGTCTGCAAATGCCCGCTGCCCGCTGGACAGACAGCCCACCAGGACCCTTCTCGTGCCCTGAAAACTCAAAGCGGAATGTGGCATCTTCGAGGTGCCCTGAACCTCTGGGCTCCGTTTAGCCGGCACTTGGAGAAGCGCTCGAATGTGGCCCCTACCTTGATTCTATCCCTAATGCACGAGACCTCTCCCTCCCCTCCCTTTCCTTCCTCCCTCCCTCCCTCCTTCCCTTTGCCTCCCTGTCTTTCTTTCTCTAACTTAACACTCGAGCAGGTAATGCTCATTATATTAACAATAATAACCTACGTCTTCGGGGCCAGCCCTGGGACAGCTGCGTTCAGAGCCACGCTTGGCTGTTTTCAAGTTCATTCTTCACACTCAGAAGCCACAATAGACTCCTTTTCTTAGCAAAAGGCGGTTGGTCTGTTTTTAAAAGCAGGAGTTGGAAATCAGCAGGAAAGCATAATGGGAGACAGAGAATTTCACTTTAAAATGTCATCTTTTCAGTGAACCAGCGGTGATGGTCCGTTTGCTTTGTCCACTGGCCTGGGCTGTAGGATCCGCTCATCTCATCCCACACGAGCCTGGGCTGCTGTGAAGGTGTCTGGTAGACGTGGTCGCGTCTGCAGTCGGTTGACTTTAAGTAAAGGAGGTGACCCTATAGCGGGGGTGGGCCTCGCCCAACCACTGCATGACCGGCCGACCTTAAGAGTGAAACTGAGGTTTCCTGGAGAGGGAGAAATTCTGCCTGCAGGGCGCAGTGTTAGCTCTTGCCTGGGTTGCCAGCCGCCCTATGGGTTTCGGACTTGCCAGGCCCCACAGTCACTGGAGCCAATTCCAAATCTCCTCGTGTAGGCGATTGATTCTGTTTCTCTGGAGACCCCGACTCTTCCAGGGCAAGGCCTTTGCAGGTTTCTGCCCCTTGAGGAGGGTGGGTCTGAGTTATAGGCAATGGTCACCAGAGGGCAGCAGAGACCTTCTCATGGGGGATCCCCCGGGGGACGGCAAAGTGGGCTGGGCGAGCTGCCAGAAAACACCAGGGGAAGCGCATCGGAGAGAAAAACCTGCCTTTGCACACGGTGGGAGAAGAGCAGCGGGTCAGAGAGAAAGCTCAGCGGGTTCATTCGCATCTTAGGAACTTTAAGACACTTGAACGAACGAAAACCACCTTCTAGTGGGGCCCCACGGAGACATCTTGTGGCCAGAGAGAGAAAACCTCAGAGATGGGGAGGGGATGCAGAGGCCGGGGGTGGGGACAGCAAGGCCCCTCCTGGAAGCCCCACCCGCCCTGGGCTGCAGGGGTGCCGAGGTCTGTGTCCTTGAGAAAACATGCACGAACCCCTGTGCACCCCTGATTTAGAATACACGGGCTTTCTCTCTCTCCTATCAATGTATTTTTGCTGAACCACGTGAGAAAGGGTTGCAGACATCCTGACCCTTAGCCCAAAACCCAGTGTGCGCCTCAGAAGAGCAAGGACATTCTCCTGAAGGCCCCCATGGGACCATCATACCCAGGAAACTAACACGAAATTCCCATTTCCCCAGTTGTCCCACTAATGTCCCTGATCGCTGGTTTTCCCTGAGTCCGGACACATTGCAATTCCTGCCCTAGTCTATTTAGTCTCCTTGAGTCAGGAACTGC